GTATGTAGCTTTTACGTTCATCTGGTATCTCAAAAGTCCTCTGCAAAAATAACAACAATTAACCATATATGATATATACCTGAAGTGTTAGTATAAGTAATTTAAACAATTTATCGTCAAGATAATAACAACAATTAACCATATATGATATATACCTGAAGCTCTTCCCAAATCGCTTGTTTTTTCTCCTCCAATTCTGAATTTTTCGTTTTCGATTTCCAGGTAGGTACGGAGACCGGAATATGCATACGGACAAGTGTACCAATATAACTTGTCAACTTTGCAGAATTAGGACCAATTGGTTGTTTATCAGAATTCCATTCCAATCGGTATACTAATCCTTGGTCTCTATGTCGAATGATTCCCTTCATAATAGTGATGCCCCGTGCCACCTCTTTTGCTTCAGTATCAGGTGGAGCATTTGTATCCGAAGCAACTCTTTCTTGTGAGTTTTCTTGTGCGTTTTCAGGTGGGTTTTGAGGTGGAGCATCTCTATCTGGAGCCATTGAACCTGTATCAAACAAACTAAAGCACATTAGTACACTATTAACACTAACTTTATATGAGAAACATTTCAAAAAATTACATAAAAATAATAAAGATGTCCTCAAAACTCAACCCCTTTTACTAAAAATAATAAAGTATTTAACAACAAAAGAAACTAAACCCATAGATAATAAATAAGCAGTCCAGTAATATTTTTCTTGCTTTGAAGAGATACCTAAAACATAAAAAAAAATGTTAGAAAAAACATCTTAATATTAAAATAAAAACAAAACACTGTTGGAGGATATACTAAAAACAAAAATGAAAACTTTAAAACAAAATAAAAAGATAATACCTTTAATTCGAATTACCCCTTAACTCTTGAACAACTAGATAATATGTAGATGGTATATGAACCAGTAAGACAAAAATGAAGGAAAATGAAGGAGACAAAAATGACAAAAATAATATTAGATGATACTCATATTAAGATTGAAATAGAGAGAACATGTATATATTTGAACATGTACACCTTTAAACTAACATTACAGTACCAACAATCAAGATTGAAATAGAGAGAACATGTATATATTTGAACATGTACAACAATCAAGTTTCATCATTGCAACAAGTCATCATAGCATACAAAAATGCTTCAAATTTTGAACCTGTATCAAACAAACTAAAACATTGACACTATTAACACTAACTTTATCACTAACGTCTCTTTCTTTTCTTGGTAGGATTGTGTACTACGCGTCTCTTAACAATGCGGACGGTTGGATTGATCCAAATACCCTCATTATGATCATTTCTAATACAAGATTCATTCTCATTTTGATCGTTTCTTGTACAAGATTCAATGCCAACACCAATATCACCTTGATCTTCAATTTTTTCATCAACTATTTTGTTCGGCCTCTCCATTGAATGCTTTTCTCCACCCACGGTAGTGATGATTAGAATTTAAGAATCTACGATGGCCGAGAAAGACATTCTTCTGACAAAGCGCCAATCGTGTCGTATCGGTTTCATCTTCACAAACAGGACACGCCTTTTGACCCTTGTTGCTGTACCCGGATAGATTTCCGTATGCTGGAAAATCATTAATTGTTCCAAACAACATCGCCCTCAAGTTGAAACTTTCTTTCCTATACCCATCGTAAACCTCCACACCTCTCTCCCACAAAAACTTTAAATCTTCGATTAAGGGTGCCAAGTATACGTCTATGTCATTCCCTGGTTGTTTAGGCCCAGAAATTAGCATAGATAACATCATGTACTTACGCTTCATACATAGCCACGGAGGTAAGTTATAAATCATAAGAATCACAGGCCATGTGCTATGCGAGATACTTTGAATACCATGCGGGTTCATTCCATCAGTAGACAATGACAACCGAAGGTTTCTTGCTTCTTTTCCAAATTCAGGATATTCAGTATCAACTTTACTCCATTGTGGTGAGTCTGCCGGATGTCGCAACTTTCCATCAATAATTCTTTCATCTGCATGCCAAGTCAAGTGTCTTGAATCGGTCTCACTACGATACATGCGTCTAAATCTCGGAATTATAGGAAAATACCATAAGACTTTAGCAGGAGACAACTTTTTCTTATATCGAGGGGCACCACATTTAGGACACTCATTCAACGCTGCATACTCGTTTCGAAACAAAACGCAATCGTTTGGACATGCATGTATCTTATCATAGCTCATTCCAATAGAAGACAACATCTTTTTGGCTTCATACGTTCGATTGGGAAGAACATTATCCTCTGGTAGCATATCTTTCATAAGGGCTAATAACTCTGTGAAACTTTTATCCGACCATCCATTGTCCGCCTTTAAGTTGTACAACTTTAACACCGCAGACAATCTTGTGAATTTTGAACAACCAACATACAACGGTTTCTCTGCATCGCTTACCAACCTCTCAAACATTTTGGGACAATCCGCAAGATCTTCTTCAAGCGCTTCTGCAATCTCTTCGACTCGATCACAATCGTATGTGTCTGTGCAATCGTCGTTTGAAGCATACTTCCTATTACAACTCGACTCAGCATTCCCGGTACTTTTCTCACCATGCATTGTCCAACATGTATAACTTCTATCAATTCCAAACCGTAGTAAATGAGATCCCAACTGATTCCCGTCAACCTTACCCCCGGCATAACAGCAACCCAAGCAAGGACACGGCATTCGAAGCGGGTCTTTGGAGTGCGCAACCGCAAACTCAACAAATTCCCATACCCCTTTCTCGTACTCTTTCGACAATCGGTTTGAATTCATCCATGTCTTATCCATGTCTTAATTAAGCTAAACAAAAACGGTCAAACTTTCACTCTTCACAAGTAACCCCTATGGCGAATTCAATTCACAAAGTTAGTAAGTACCTCACTTAACGATAAACGAAATTAAAGAGTTACTGAGAGGAAATTAATTTTAATAAATAACTAATAAAATAAAATAAAATAAATATATAAAATTACTAAAAAAAAACCTTAATTTTAACTCCAAAATAATTTAATAGACTTCACAACTTTAATATATAAGATATATGATTCACTCTAACCTAACTTTCACTTCAAATTTAGTATTTATTTCACCTATTTGTCATCATAATCTAACAACATGTTTCACACTAACCTAACTTTCACTTCAAATTTATAGAGTATTTCTTTCACCTATTTGTCATCATCTTAATTATTTAAATTCTATTAAGAACATGATACATAAAGGCCGAACATATGCTAACACTTGAATCAAAAAATTATGTTGCTTAAGAATCAGGACTAAAGATAATTTATAAACATCGACATTCTTCAACCAATGAGACGAGTTTCACACAAAGAACAAAACTATTAAAACTCACACAAAGTTCAAAACAGACTTCATAAACACAATAATATAAACCTTAGATTAGAACAATAAGCTTATTTAAAGAACTACAGCAAATACATTCCCTCCCCATTCTTGATGTTGTTTTGGAAGGCATGTCCATGACTTTCATAACTGGAATTCCTAAATTGCACAGATTCAAGGCCATCCTATTACTTCCACTACTAATAGGGGTTAAGTTCTCTTCATCTATTTCTTTCCTATTGAAAAAAGAATCATTTTTTCTACTCTTCATTATCACTTTTGTGATGCATAATCAATTAAATAAATTAACACAACACAACAAAATCTCAAAATTATCTAAGTTCCAATCTTACACATATTAGTAAGTACCAATTCTCTAAATTCCAATTCCACTACATTATAGCGCATTAAAAATATAACCACCTCTAATATAAACAAATTCCTTCTACTCCTAACAAATTAAAAAATAAACACTACCATTTTTCTATTAATGTCTTATGTAACTAATAATTAAAGTTTACAAAATTTCAACTTCTAAGGCACCAAACTAAAAAAAATTATCACATTATCACAATACAAACACAATACTTCAAACCAGAACATCAACTTAATAAAACAAACCAAAAACACATTATCACATTATCACAATATTATACTTCAAACTAAAACACCAACCTACAACAACACAAGATTACTTCAAGATTAATTTTTAAAAACAATGTTAAATCTTACTTAAGATTTAAGAGGAAGGAAGCAAGTTAGATGAAGAAGATGGACTTCTAAAAACCAGTTCGTGAAGGCCTCTGGAGGATTGAGATTACTTGAATGAGAGAGATTACTTAAGCAATTGAACGAGAGAAAGAAATTGTTCTCCTGGAATGCGAAAATATCAATTGGTTAGGGTAAACAAGAACAATGACATTAGTTTCTTTGACATTAGTTTGAAGAAACTGTTGAATGAAGAGTATAAAAATACACAAGTTTCCTTGACATCCATCACAAATGACTTACTTAGTGAAGCATCAAAAGATAGTGATACCTTAAATCTTGAGCGCTTTAGCTTGTTTGTTGTTGAAAACAATTGAAATGGATAGTGAAGAACACTGTAAAGATCATTTTCATTACTAGAAATTAGTAAACATGATTGTGCACATTGAGGTGAATAGCATAGAACAAACACAACAGTAGTTAGTAATCACGATTCTGGAAAATTAGCATTTAGGCACAACACAATTAAGCTCAAGATTCATCCAATTCCGAATCTATCTATATTTATTCACAATATCAAGAATCTAACATCAACACAAAGAATTGCAATTGATTCTATGTCAATAGATTAGCACAATATCAAGAATTAGTTCTTATGTCAAGAATTAGCAATTCAATTCTATGAGGAATTTCTACGTACACCTAATGTGCAAATGTTATGTCTACAAATCTATGTTAAAATCTACATCACAAATTCACATAAACATTATCACAAACACATAATATGCATGCACAAATTACTCAAGTATTCAACAAAACTATGAAAATCAAGTAATGTTACCTAAGATAATTTGTAGAAAATTGGAAGTTGGATGTTGTTGATGATGATAACAGGGAACCACGTTTGGACTTGACAAAGAGCTTTGAAGTAGGAGCGACGGAGATGGCTGAGGAAGTGACGGCAAGTGACGGTGAGGAACAAATGGAAATAGAAGAAGAATGGCGGCAGCAGTGAAGTAACGGTCGCGGATGGGGTTTTACGGATGGAGATGAGGCAGAAGTGAAGGTTATGGAAGTTCGTAACAGTACTGAGGTCTGGACTTTGGAGTGTGAAGGTTGATGTGAGAAGACGGATGGGGTTTGTATAATTTTGTTTTTAAAAATTTTAATTTTAAAAAGGCTATGAAAGCGCTTTTGAAAAGCGCCTTAGTAGATGTAGCTATACCAGCGCTTTTAAGGGTAAAGCGCTCTTGTACCCCACCCCCTACCAGAGCGCTTTTGAAAAGCGCTCTCATACCCCCTTACCAAAGCGCTCTCATACCCCCTTACCAAAGCGCTTTTCAAAAGCGCTCTCATACCCCCCTTACCAAAGCGCTTTTCAAAAGCGCTCTCATACCCCCCCTTACCAGAGCGCTTTTTAAAAGCGCTTTCATACCCCCCCCACTATAAGAGCGCTTTTTTAGCGTGTTTTTTAATTTTGTCTTTAGCGAAGCCTATGCCAGCGCTTTTCCTAAAAGCGCTTTCGTAGGGGTGCTGCTAAAAGCCAAATTTGGTATAGTGCATCAACCACAGTATCACCAAACCACCCAACATCCTCAATACCAAACACCCCAAGATCCATTTCCTTTCTACCCACCGTACTCAGACGATCAATGCTACAGACCCACCATGAAACCCCACCCACCGCCAACACGACCAAACTTTGAGGGTATGGGTAACCGACTGTACCAAAGCGGATCTTCTAGATATGGAGATCTGACTGATTTTATGGATCCAGAACACATTGACTTCGCTGGGCCATCGACCCTGCCACAGCAGGAAACGCGACGACACCCAGCACGGTAAAGGCGAGGACGGGGATGCGGAACCGGGGGTCATTTCCGGGTTCCGGGGGATCACTGATTTATCTGTTTTTTTTTTCTGTTTTTTTTATCTGTTTTTTTAATGTAATACATTTGGATATAATTATTATTTTTTTTAATAAAAAGACAATTTTGTTGATCCTGTATCCAATACGCAATGCACCGGACCGGAAAAAAAACAAAATTTGCCCTAGAATTACACTTAGGCGCCATCTCACTTGGCTTAGGGCATGCCCTAAGCACATAGGCGCCAAGTGAGATGGCGCCTCCCCTTAAATAATGGGTGTAGGCGCCAAGTGAGATGGCTCCTCCTTTAAGGAGTCATCTGAAACATGGTTATTTGCGTAATTTTTTCCGAAACGCGGTTATTTAAGAAAAAAAATTTAATACTTGATTATTCAAAAAAATTTTCACAAAATGACAATATCTTTGATAGGAATGAAATAAAAGCTCACAGTTTAATAAGAAAAGGCAGCAAAATGGCAATTATTAAATAGTGGAAAAATGTTCAAAATCAATTAAAATAGTAAAATTACTTTTAATTGTAGGAATTGTTAAGACAACTCTTTGGATGAGAAGCTAGTAAAAGGAAAAATCTTCTATGTGAAGGAGACCAAGGAATTTCAGAAGCCATTAGGGTAGGTGTTGTTGGTGTCATGATGCAAGGGCAAGCTTCTATGGATATGGCAATCTCTTTTCCTTTGCCAGCATGTTATCTTCAATTAAAAGATGCTGCAAAAATACTTACATACATCCGTTCTACAAGGTATAAGTGAAAGTTTAATATACACTAACAACAATTTTAAAAACCACTTTTCTAAAATTTAAGATATTTTTTATTTTACAGTTTTCCGACTGCAGCCATCTTAAAGACCATTGAGGTCAAAGATAGTTTGGCACCTGTTGTTGCCTCTTTTTCATCAAGGGGTCCAAACAAAGCTGCACCCGAAATTTTGAAGGTTCTTTTCTCTAGTCAAGAATATATTAAATGTAATTTTATCATTTTACAATAATTGTCATTAACTTTTTTTTTTTACTTTTTTAATATTGTAGCCCGACTTTATTTCTCCTGGAGTTGACATAATGGCTAGTTGGTCTCCAATTTCTGATATTTCTGGTGAGACCAGAAAATTGATGTTCAATATTATATCAAGAACATCAATGGCATGCCCTCATGTATCCGGAGCAGCGGTATATGTAAAGTCATTCCATCTCACATGGTTACCCGCTGCTATTCGGTCTGCTCTTATGATAACAGGTATTAGAAATAAATAAAGTCATATATCATACAATAATAGGATGCATAACTAAACCTATACTTATTGATAACATATTATTGGTGGTTTGAGCAGGATAACACAAGTTGATTCTATTGGATGAAGTTGTTTTTGTGTCTTGGTTCTTCCACTTTTATGTTCTTCCTTCTGATTCTTCATCTTCTTATCTTGAAAGTATAAAAATCAAAGCTGCTCATCATTGTTTCTTTAATTCTATACGCTTTCTTTTCTCTTGGAAGTTGGAAAGATTGCATATCTCGAGTTGTTCAAATTTTATTATTTACTCAATGGAATTGTGTACTTGTAATTAATATAAGTTTTGATATCAATTAAAAATTAGTTTAGTGTTGATTCTGGTATGAAAATTTGACATTTATTCAAATACTATATCACAACAGTTATTATGAATAACCGTTGTTATAAGGCGCACACGAGAATGTATAGTATATTTGACTTGATTAACATAAATTATGTCTCTATTTAATTTTAATTATGTTGCTTTATGTTGGTATTATGCTGATATTTTGATGTGTTTCAGGAATTTAATGTTTACAAGACTTATTTGTGAAAAGGAAGAAAAGGGGGTACAAATGAAGAAAAATAGGAAATATCTAAAAAGAAAAAAGCCCATTAAAAGATGAAAAATCCAAGGTCCACAAAGAAAGAAGCGCGTGCCCACGTGTGCAAGGTGTGACTCTCGTCACACCCACCGTGACGATCGGCAGAAGCAAAAAAGGAAAGGGTGACGGTCGTCACCCACCCTTGGCGGTCGGCATGATCTGCTCCATGCAACCTTGCCCCTCGTCACGAGACCTTTTCCAGCGCCACGTAACTAACTATCTACGAAGTTTTCTCATAGTCAAATATCAAACCAACTGCTCCTACTTTTTCTCCACACACTAAGTCCTCTAAGACTAAAATCAAATAACCACTTCATCCTATTTTTCTCTCTGCGGATGCGACACATCAAAAGATATAAAAGCAAGGCAATTTGCAAAAAGGGCTCTCTCTCTCTCTCGTCCATTTTCCCACCATTTTTCGTTCGTAGTTTTTTCTTAGAATGTAAAAGTAATAATTCTCCACATCGGGGAACTATTACCAAATTAGTTTTAGGATTTATTTCTACCATTTAATTTATGTAACAGATCTAAGTTTGCCGGTTATTTCAATTAAAGTTTTCTTTGTTTTTATTTTCTGCATTTACAGGTTCTTCATTTTACCGCTTTATTATTATTATCATTGCTATTCTTTTTTATCGCATTATTTATCATTACTATTTTGTTTGTCAAATTTAATTGCTATGTCTATTTTCATCGTAACTATAATTATTCATGCGTTTTTAATTAGTAATATGTCTGGCTAAATAGTCTTGAGTTCGGTGTATAAGGATCGTTGTTGCCAACGAACTCGGTAGAAAATAATAGGTGCAAATTTATGATTAGAATTCTGTTTTTATTTTAATTTCCAAGTCTAATTTAAATAGCCTTGTCACGAGAGTGAAAGATTATTTAATATGATTTTTCTACGAGAGTGGGAAATTAATTAAGGTTTAATCCGAGATCGCGAGAGCATGAGGAGCGAACCAGATAGTGGAAATTAGTCTAAATACAGTGAAAGCGCTTTAGATACGTTTAAGATATAATTGACTTTCAAAATATATTTCTTAGTTACCGGGAGAGCGAGAGCAAAATCTCGGGACTAGGAAGTATGGCTTTAGTTAATAACACGAGAGCGTGAGACGGAGTCTTTAAGTTAGTATATTCTATGGAACTAAGTTATGGTCGTTATTAGTACCCGTTTTCTATAAGTCCTTCAGGAACGTGAAATCATATCCCGACATCGTTTTAGTATTATTTTCAAACCTTTAGAATTTAGTACTTTTATTCCCCTTGATCAATTATGCATTATCCTTAGATTTACAAAGTGACGATAGATTACGGTAGGTTGACATTGGTCTCTGTGGTTCGACAATCTTTTATATTACTTCGATATTTTCGTGCACTTACGGACGCACCAACAACCACATGCTACATAACAATGTTTGGTCCCGCGTGGTTGTATATCTTTCCTAACCGTTGTTAAATATCTTTTCCGTAGTAGTGAGAACAACCCATAAAAAATGATGTGTAACAAAAATTAACTATATAGAATAAACTAAGTAATAAATAAATTAGAAAATTAGATGAACAAATGTTTGATATCAATACAAAATACGGCCAAAATATTTTTTCAACTACATGAGCTTGTAAGCTTAAATGATATATTTTGGGAAGAATGTAGCTCGAAAGGAAGTATGAAGTAGTCTCTATGAAGATTTCGATGAATGAAGAGATGATAAGAGTTTTATTTCGCTAAGTGTTGGTGAAAGGTTTGTATGTGAACTATTAGAATTTAAATTATTCTAAGTATCAGATTATATGTTTAGACCATCACGTTTGGTGCTTCGAAGGCAAAAAAGTTTTCAAATTTGAAAGTTTGATCTTATCTAAGGAGACGCGTGGAAGTAAAAGGTTTCAGGCGCATGCAAATGTCAACCGTGGCAACATTTTATAAAGAGACCGCTTTGGTCGAATTAGTATAAATAGAGGTCTTAGCGCTAAGATTCTGTGTGTTCACATCTTTGTACAAAATACTCTAAATTATTCAAAGTACTAGCGTTTGAGAAACGAGTTGTGAGAATGTACGTATGATGCACCAATTTTATATTTATTATTGTTCAACTTTAATTGTAGTTTTATACATTCCCTTTAAGTCTCATTCGAAAGCCTTTTAAATTACAGTCTCTTCTTTAAAGCATCACATTACTACATTCGAAGTAACAATTGAAATCAATTTTGTTTAAAAGAATAAGAATGTCGTCGAAAGTATTCTTCATTTTCAAGAACAGAAGTTTGAATAAGAACACATGTACTTAGGATCAATCTGGTCGATCCTGCAAGTTACCAATTTTTTATTTGATTTGGAAGACCAGCGGTTGTTTATCAAATTTCACGGTAAACAAATTGGCACACCTAGTGGTACTTGTGTTCAATAATCAAATTTTTTCTATTCTGTTAAACAAGTTTTGAAAATCTTCATCATCCTTTTGTATTTTTCTGTGTTGTATGAGATAGGAGTAGTAAATTAGTCACAAACAACAAGGAAATACCTAAAATAAAGTACGTTAGAAAAATGGAGAATCAAGGCCAGACAGGTAATCAAAATCCTCCAAACAATGATGAAGTACCACCCCTAGTCACTTTGACAGGGGAAACTATGGTTTCTTCGTCTTCTTCTGAGGCTATACCGTCGTCAACAAGTTCGACGCTAACGCAGTCGAATGCTTACGCCGACTCTCTTTTGACTTATATAGGCCCACAGGGTTCATAGGGACCTTCCTCTAGGGGGAAATATTTTTCATAGGCCTCAGGGGCCACCTGGTTTTTCCATGCCTCAAAATGGTCGTAAGAGGCCTTATGGAATGCCATCTTCATTTATGATGGGTTTACATAATTCTACTTCAACCTATTTAGATCTTGTGATAAATGTTACTTCACCATTACAAGGTTTTGGATCTGCTACCAATAACAGGGGTCGAAATGTCCAACCATAAATCGAATGAGTTTCTTACCAAATGCCAAATTTAATGAATCAATCTACAACAGTGATTAGGCAGCAAATGGACGAAAATAAGCATGAAATGGTCCAGATGCTTGCACAAATAATGGGTACAATCTTTAACCCTTTTATTCAAAACACCACTCAATGAACCAACAAATGGTTGTACAAATGACGCGCATCGCTGATTTCTTTGGTGTACCTCAACCCCTAACACATCCTCAGAGGAAGTGGGTTAGGGAAAATCAAGGGGTAGTCTAAGAAGAAGACCCAACAATTAACCAAGTTCAATAGAATCAAAGAAATGCACCCCAGGAAAATATGGTAAATCAGCGAGGAATAGTCGAAGTTCCTAGAGTTGCGAATGTCGAAATACCTAGAGTCAAACCTTTTAGGAAAGAACCACAGATTTTAAGGAAACCAGAACCTAGGGTCGTGATGATAAATAGAAACCAAAATGTTGATGAAGTCTTATATCAAGTTTGATAAGACAACATGGAAGCAGACAACAATCTGGCAGCCATGGTCGAAAGGATTATGGAACAAAATGGTGTAAACATTAGCCTCACTAGGCCAAATTATACTTTCCTTCATCTGAATATATTTTACAAACTGAATTGCCCATAGGTTGGAAAGTCCCAAAGTTCACAAAATTCTCTGGTGACACCAGCGAATGTCGAACATATTGTTAGGTACCTTACTGAGGCTAGGGACATAGAAAATAATGAAAACTTAAGGATAAAATATTTTCCTAGTTCACTAACCAAAAATGCTTTCACATGGTTCACTATCTTTGCAACAAATTCTAACCAAGATTGGACGCGTTTAGAAAGATTGTTTCATGAACAATTTTATGTAGGTCAATCGAAGATAAGTCTAAGCGAATTGGTCAGCATTAAGCATAAGTTTAGTGAGCCAATTGATGATTACCTCAATATATTTTGTCTGTTATAGGCAAGATATTTCACCCAAGTGCCTGAACATGATTAGTTAAGATGGCTGCAAGAGGATTAAATTTCTCCATTAGAAAGAAGTTGTACCCTCACTACTTAAGGGGTATGGCCCAATTGCCATATAGGTTTCGACAAGTGGAGCGCTTAAAGGTAGAAAAATCCAGGGCAAACAAAAGTCATAGAAAAGAAAAGGGTTGCTTATGTCGAAACAGTCATAGATGAACAAGAAGCCTGCATTGATTTTTCAGACTTTGATGAATGTGAAATAAATTTGGATGAATTAAAGCAAGGGCCACCATTTCCTTGCAAAGTTTTGGCCCCTTCAAATGGAAAGAATCCTGCAGAACCAGAAAAAAATGAAAAGTTCTCTAAGAGAACATACACCTTCGATGTAATAAAATGTGACGAAATATTCGACCTGTTGGTAAAGGATGGCCAAATGATAGTGCCATCTGGTTCCAAAGTTCTTATGTTAAACCAACAGAAGAAAAAAGATTTTTGTAAATATAATAACTTTTTGGGACATAAAA